CTTGCTGATTTTGACCCTTTCACCTCCCTCTTATAGGGCCCCTCATGATTACATTGGTCCTATCCGGGTAATCTAGGACAGTCTCCCCATCTTAAGACCCTTAGCTTAGTCACATCTGCAAAGATCCCTTTGCCATGGAAGGTAACTATTGACAGGTTTGGGGATTAGGACGTGGACACCTTTGGGGGCCATTATTCTGCCTAACATTCCTAATATCTGATTTTTTATTTTTTAAAAATGTGTATTGTGTGTACAGAGTGGGTAGGAGCACGTGAACAGATAGAGCAGTTGTCTCTAGAAGATGGGCATTCTAGCGCTCTTCATTTTCTTTTCTCTGTCTTCTGGTTTTTCTACAAAGAGCACATAATGCTCATGTGACAAAAATCACAATAACGTTGACTGTACCTCCGGTACACCCAGGGGCCCCTCTCCCCCCTCGCCCCTCTGCCTCACCCACCCTCACCCACCCTCAGGCTGCAGCAGCCTCTGTGGGAAACCCAGGACCTCGCTCATTTCTTGTGTCGAGGGGGAGGAGAGCTGCTGGCTGTCTTCATTCGACAACTTGACACCTTGAACCCGCTTCGGGGGGAGCTCATGGGTGGGGTTGTCTGGACCTTAGTGGTCTGTCCCTGCGAAGCCACTGGGCTCTCCAGGGCTGCGTTGGTGGCCCAACCCCCTTGTCCATTGGCACCCAGCAAGCTACACAAGCAGGAACCAGCCCAGCCAAATATCCCCAAATTGAGTAACCCTCCACTTTATTCCCCCAAAGAACCGGCCCCCGTTGCAGCAGATAACTCGCTACTCTCTTGTCGCCATCTGCACTGTGCTGCTCCCTGGCGGCCGCCAGGATTAGGCCAGGTCGGCAGTGAGCAGTGTGTGAAACATTCAGCCCACCTGTGGGCAGCCACCATAGCCTCAGGCCTCTGCTACCCATGGCCTGCTCTTGCCTGGGAGGGGACATGCCTGACGTCTGCCCTGACCCTCCAGCACTCCTGATTCCCTTTTATTCTGCATTATTTTTGCCCCTTGGCACTATCCACATTCTAAATACTATTAATTTCCTTTTTTTTTTCCCCGGGGAGGAGATTCGCCCTAAGCTAACATCTATTGCCAATCTTCCTCATTTTTTCTTCTCCCCCCCCCCCATCAAAGCCCCAGTATATAGTTGTGTATAGTTGTAAGTTCTGTTTCTTCTGTGTGAGCCGCCACCACAGCATGGCTACTGACAGATGAGTGGTGTGGTTCCACACCCAGGAACTGAACCTGGGCTGCCAAAGCGGAGCTCGCCAAATTTGAACTGCTAGGCCATCAGGGCTGCCTCACTATTAATTTGCTTTTTTTTTTTTTTTCTGTGAGGAGGATTGGCTGTAAGCTAACATCCCTTGCCAATCTCTGAGGAAAATTGTCCCTGAGCTAACATCCGTGCCTGTCTTCCTCTATTTTGTACATGGAATGCCACCGCAGCATGGCTTGATGAGCAGTGTGTAGGTCCATGCCTGGGATTCGAACCTGTGCACCCTGGGCTGCCAAAGCAGAGCACATGAACTTAAGCACTAGGCCACTGGGGCAGCCCTACTATTAATTTGCTTTTTAATTTCATGTGTCCCCTTGAGCTCCTAGAGGGCTGAGACCTTTGCCCTGCTTGCTCACTGATGTGGCCCAAGCGCCTAGAACAGTGCCCGGCACACAATAGGTGTTCAGTAAGTGCCGGCTGAATTGAGGAATGCTGTGCAATGCGAGCACGTGGAGCACCCTGTTCTAATACGTGCACATGGCAGCGAGGGGCGCTCTTGGACGGACACCCACAGCCGTGTGCTGGGAGCCCGCAGACGCCCGCAGGGCCGCGTGCTGTCTCCCCGTCATTTTGGAAGTTCGGGACTGGTGCCCTGTGTCTCGTTCTGTGTGTCTAATAAACTTCACAACTCCGCAGTCCTCCCTGTCAGCAGCGGGGTTTTAACTGGCGGAGAGCGGGTGTCTTAAATTACTCAACCACCTCCCACTGATGGACGTGAGGCTTCTCGAGGAGTGCAGGTTACAGAATACTGCGAAGGGACGTTCTGACCGTGTCCGCTAGACTTCTCTGCGAACGTCCCCTGATCCGTACGGGGAAACGGGTGCGTGCGTGTTTCACGTGGGCCTAGTCGCGTCCCCAGAGCCGACTGATGACAGTCGCACCCGTGTCATCACAGCCACACATGGTGTCATTCTGCCACCTCCCTGTCCGGTGCGACGGGGAGAGGCTCGGGCGTCTCCCGTCGGCGCACTGGGGGCGGGGCAGGGCAGGGCAGGGTCCCAGTGGGGTGGGGTGGGCCTCCCGGCGCCTTGTTCTGGAGGCGGAGTTGAAAGGCTCGTCTGGGCCACAACGTGGGAAGTCACGCGGGGTCGCCGAGTTGCACCTGGGGCTGAGCGGAAAGCGGCGCACGGCTCAGAGAAGCCGCAGGGCCGGGCCCAGCGGGGATGCAGGGCGGCCCCTCCCCGCCCCCAGGCCGTAGCCCCGCCCTCCCAGCGGGCAGGCCCCGCCCCCTCACAGGTCCCGCCCCCAGGACGAGCCCCGCCCCCGCCTTTATTAGTTCGCTCCCCGCCGAGGCCCGCCTCGCCTGGCCACGCCTCCGAATGGCCCCGCCCCCTGCCAGGCCCCGCCCCATCACTCCTCACCTTCCCCTCACGACCCCGCCGGCATGTCCAGGCCCGCCTCTCGTGGGTGCGCGCCCCGCCGAGCCCCGCCCCCTCGTCGTCATTTCCGGGCAGAGGAGCCCGCGGAA